ATCGCATAAGAGAACAAAGTCTCAAGCCCTCTCTCATTTCTTCACCCTTGCGTATTCCACCCTGGAACTGCTTAACAGCAGATGCGGGTATTGCACTATCCGTAGAGGGCTATATGGAGAAACTGGACAGTCATGCAGAGACACAATGATTGTGTTCAAACATCCAACACTCTTAAACCTCACACATACACACTATTAATGGGTATGCATCTAAACTCATCCTCCTACTTTTGTCCATTCTCTTTTGTCTTACTGTTCTGAATGTTCTATCTACTGATTCACTTATTATTATCATTTAAATATATATTTCAAATTTCATTACGTATTTTTTTGTACATTTACATAATTAACACTAATTATACCTATCATTGTTATTATTACTAATAGTTTCTCTCTTTTCGACCACAATGGACAACTAAATGGTGGAATGATCAAACCGATTCACAGTAGTGACACAATCTTAACACAAAACATACTAAAAACCATCCCAACCATCTCTCCCCTTGAAGTCAACCAAAGCTATAACAGTCTAGTGGTGAGACGAACCACTCAAACGTTCACTGAAGACCAAGAACATTTACCTTGGAATAGCAGAAGGCAAGACACAGAAGCCAAGGTGTATTTTCAAATGCTTTTAGTATTTATAGAATTTATATTCTTTGACCAATCACTGTGCATGTGATTTTGGTTTACATTAGATGACATGAAACAGAATGTTCAAATACATATATAGTATCCTGTTGCTAATGCGGTATTGAACTTCGGCAATAGTATTCAGACGTTAACAACAAAAAATACAATACTGTGCGAATAATATTCCCCGTGGAACCCATTGTCTGTATCACACCATCACAACCTTACGAAGAAGAAATGAGCGCAAAAAAAGGTTGTCTGATTTACACTATTTCGTAGAAACGATACTGGATATTGGAATGTGACCTCTAATGGTATTATTTACTATTTCGTGCATTTAAAGTGTTTACAAACTACTGATTAGCAAGTTTCAGCTGAACTTGGCAAAAAGTCTGACTGTGGGTGATACTGTGTCCCGATACATAAGATAACTGTTCTTGAGTTATGTCCTTGGGTCTCAAAATATATTCCTGAAGTATTTACAATTTAATTTTAACCAAATGTCACCGATTTCCTGGGGTCAAAGCAGGAATATCATAATGCATTGGTTGGCGCTTCAGCTCAGAGAGTACTGTGTCACAGGATCTACTAACAATCACTATTTTATTTGAAGATCTTGGACGAAGAGAAATATCATGCGATCAACTTCGCTGCAATTCTGTACATTATATAAGAACTATCCAGAATATGACTATTATTATTATGACTTATGTTACCTGCAGTTCCTATCAGTGATTTGTCGTTAAAGAGATAGGAGCACGCGTTCAAACCTTTATCGTCATTCACAATTTTTCTATTGGTTAGGTTGTAAGCAGTTGTAAGGAATCAACGAAATAACGAAATTGAGACAGTATTATTTTCTTCAAGTGTTTCTACGGAAAACGTAATCACTGATTGTTCTTTGAATACTGAGGGTAAAGGATCATACTAAATGTCCGTAGTACTGCCGTAAACCTTGAAGAGATTAGAGAATTGAATGTATTCTGGAATTGTAAATTATTGCCTAATTCTCACATTAGATAATCTCGTTTTTCAGAATTTTCTGACTTCTTCACAAACATTACAATTCTCAGTTTTGTAAAACATATACAAAAGTAATGACTAGCTGACTAATTGTGAGGAATTTGTTCAACATAAAGTTGCATGTGAGATTTTGCTGTAATCTTTGAATTGAATGATTTGACTGCAATGCTTTTACTGCCCTCCTAGTTTGCACTGGTATCTTTGCTAGTACAGAGTTTTCACTCCTTTTGCTAGATGACATAACGTGAGAGAAAAGCTTCATTCGTTATCTGGTTTATTTCAAAGAAAAGATATTTCAACGCTGCATTACAGCCTGTGCAAGTACACATTATCATACCAAGGACTATTTTTCATGTTTAAGTGTACAATTAATTTTTGGAAATTTTTGTAGGCTTAACGTTTTGTATTTATTATGGCGTGTGCTACTGACAAGATTTAAAAGTAGCATATAGATTCAGGTATAAATAGGCGTATCACCTGCAAAAATATCGAATAGCGGAGAGATGGATGGATTTAATGGCGAAGATATGAATGATGCTTGTTAAACACAACATGAAAGACATGAAATGAAGGCAAAGAAGCAGAATACTGAGGATAAAAGTATCACAATACAGAAGATATATGTAAATTTTGTCTTCTTCTTATATCTTATTCCTTAACGTTCCTAGTGGAACACACGGTAGAGGTTTGAAGTTTCGAAAGCAGTTGTGTTTATATTTACGAGATGGGTCTGCTAGCTTCACTCTCAACATTCCGTCTTTGCAGTCTTAGTAAAGTAAAGAAGTGTACCAGCCGGAGATCGAACCCTGAACTACATGCTTGGTTGGTGAGCATTTCACCGCCCTACTAGTGGCGCAAATTTCTTATATCATTATATGGTGGACGTATTTTGCTCATATCTTTACTTCCAGCTATCTATAAATAATTCCGTCGTCAAATACTCTTACGTTTGCCAAAGAATATTAGTTGGGAAACTATAGCTCAAAGATAACCACTGTCAACACGTAGCCATTTTATCACAGATTCAATCCAAACAAGTACTCAATAGGCATTTGATTCACGGAGGAAACCTACAAAATTCTGTTTTTCACTATCTTACATGGAAAATTATTTTGATGGGTTGTGAATATGAGCAGTGATTTCACGCCACGGAATAAGAATTTACATCGGCTCAATACCTAATGATTAAGCATCGGACCTTGTTGGAATGACATAATAAGGTCTAAAATTGAGGATTTCCCCCGCCCCCCATGGCAATTATCACAAATATAATTCTAAAATACAGTGAACTTCATTGCTACAAACGAGTTCACCACACATTAGTTTTGTTACACATTTATTTGAAATCCCTACTAGTTAATTATTGCACATATCACGTGAATGAGAATTAATGTACTTTCATTGTGATCAAACGATGATGTATTAAATTGATTCCTTTCACTTTCACACGACCTCGTTGATTCTATAAACAAAGCTTCTTTTATCAATCTCTCCCTTCACCCTAGGACATTAGATTTCAAAACTGTTATCTGATTTCATCTATCCTATTGGATGGTTGTGTGTAATTACATGTAGTGCTATAATTGAACTATTCTCTAGATTTGTTATCGTATTCGAGGCAACTAATCTTGATCTTGCCAGGTTTTTATGCAACTGGTGATATGTCTCAAAATCGCTCTCGTTTGGGCAAATGCATTCACATTTTGTAATTTTTCGGATCTGTCGCGGCTCTAACGCGCGTGTAGAAACACTGACCTATCTAGCATTAGTATTAAGATTTATAACTTGTAGCTAGTGCTCAGTGCTGTAAATCGGTATGTGGATTTCAAAGCACTGAATGCCCACCTTCTGTTCCCAGCCCTCGCTGGCTCTGATGGCTTCACAGATGGCAATTGTCGTTGAAACTATGCTGTTCAGATGAGCTATTACTATTAACAATAATAAATTTATCATTAGATCTTAATCCTACTCATCAGTAGTAAAAAAGGTCTAAAAGTTTCAAATATTCACACACTTCAAATGGAAACAAATAAGTACAAAAAGTAAGATATTGTTGACTCCGTAAATTAAAAGAACTTACCTATTCATAAGACTCTTAGTGATTATCAATTATGGTTGAACCAGTTTTAAGTGACTACATATACCAGTGCCTTCTTTCATCCTTGAATGCAGTCACGAAACCATAAAGGTGTCATACAAACAGGAAGCAGTTATTTCTACTTCACCTGTGATCATTCTATCACTCTCTCTACTGTTTGACATACTTATCTAATTTCTTTAGGGACTGGTCATTTTAGGGTGAGATCTTTATGTTCACGTATTTGCGAAATAATTCCAAGGAACTCCCATAAACATAAAAATGACATGAAACGAAATTGTCCGAAGTTTAGGAAAAACTGCTTCCATCTCAGCTTTGGGAAAGTACAATCCTGCGGACATCAATTCGACTGGAACAACCAGCGTTCAAATATTAGACAGAGGAAGCAACAAGAATGCTAGAGAATTTTTAAAAGCTTGGCATTCCAGTGAATCATCAATCAATAGACACATCGAGATAGACAAAATTTATCAACCAATAAGAAAGAAACTTCACACACGATTGACCAAAGTTCAAGTCACAGAAACAATCAGTTCCAACACAAGTAACCTAGAAGGTGTGAAAACATACATAAACAACCAATCACGTCCAAGGTCACCAGGAGGAATGATTAATAAACTCGTGGAGAAACCTAAAAGGTCACTTCAATTTGAAGTATGCGCTGAAGATGTCACCCAGTAAGGTGATGAAAGCTTCGCAAACTAACTATCCAGCTCAGAGAACAAAACCACATCAAAAATATTGTCATTTGTAGCGACTTTCTGATCCTCACAAATTCTACCTATCATACACTTTATTCAATGCTACAGACAGACCGAGTATACTAGGCTGGAATCCTTTCAGCCAGAGTTTGTACTACATTCTTATTTTAATCCTCTTCTGTCTGTCTTGTCTAAGTCAATGGGTGCAAATAGACAAAATAGAAAGGTATTTTCAGGTATTTATTTTGCAACAATGTTTGAATGGATCACTTTATTATTGTCATATATCGAGTAGGTGTGAATGCATAAAGTAATAATTATACTGTGAAATGCAATTGAAAAACTAAAATGTTTGTGGTTATAATCGTAGTTAAATGTCAAGTGGCAAAGCAGATTAATGTCATATATAGAATAATTCATAGGATGGATAGAACTTGAAAAAGGGTGTGCAATTATAGGTTTAGTAAACAAATCAAGTAAAACAAAAACGTTACGTTATATTGTGTGAAATTTGATAGCATAGAATTTAACGTTGTAAAACAGAAGAATTGATTTAGAATGACAAGTGGGACAAGTGAAATAATACTGGGGACAGTTCAAAGTGAGAATAGTAAAACTAACTAGCAATTGACGTAATAAAGGAACAGTATACAAATTGAATAGACAAAATGAAAAAAAATGAAAAATTGGTACGACTAAAATATGATTGGGGATTACCATATTTTAGCATTGAGGGATTGAAACGATGAGAGTTGGAGGGGTTGAACGAACTTTTTCTGTACACAGAGATCTGGCTTTTCTGTTTCGATAGCCAAGCCTTCAGCAATACAGATGAGTCGGGTACGTAGGCAAAGAGTAATTTACCCATATCCAGTACATAAAGGACAGAAAGGCACTATATTTGTAAGTTAATCAGGACTTTCTAAAATTTCCAGCTTCATAATCATACTTTACATCGAGTGTTCTCTGAAGTACTTAAATATTCAAGAGGATTACTAGTTAAAAGAAAATCAGGTATAAACTCACGACATTCTGTAAGGGAGTTGAACTTGTTGTGATTATCTGAAGAAATTCTAGGATTAATAAACTTGTTTCAAAGTTTATTAATGTTTGGATAAATTAATTTTTCAATATATTAAATATACCCAGAGTAAAATTTAGAACAACACATTTAAGCGAACAGTGATATTGTGCTTTCGATTAGATCTCATCAGGCTTAAACTCTAATATGCCTACATAAGATTACAAATAAAGATTCAAATATAAAACCAATCATGGTGTTTTGTCTATAGGATAATACGATGGTGATATATAAATTGCGCAATTAGTCGTGATAGTGGTAATGATAACAATAATAGTAATAACAGTAGTGGTCTTATCAACAATAAGGTTGAAAAGGTGAGGTGAACTGTGATAACACGAATAATGAAAAACAGTATGATTAAACAAACAATTGTTCTTGATGTGGTTTTGTTCTCTGGGCTGGATGGTTAATTTGCGAAGCTTTCATCTACCTACTGGGTGACATATTGAGCGCATACTTCAATTTGAAGTGAGCTATTAGATTTCTCCACGAGTTTATTAATCATCTTCATGGTGACCTTCAACGTCATGATTGGTTGTTTATGTGTGTTTTCACATCTTCTAGGTTACTTGCATTGAAACTAACTGTTTCTTTGATTTGAACTTTGACCCTTTGTGTGCGAAGTTTTTTTCATATCGGTTGATAAATTTTGTCTATCTCAATGTGTCTATTAATTGATGATTCACTGGAATACCAGGTCAGGCTTCTAAAAATTCTCTAGCATTCTTGTTGCTTCCTCTGTCTAATATTTGAACGCTGGTTGTTCCAGTCGAATTGATGTCCGTGGTTGTCTGTGTGTAGTGATATGAGGGAGTGGATATCATGTCTTTTGACGGCTAACTTATGTTCGTGGATACGAAGACGAAGGGGACGTCCACTTTGGCCAATGTAGTGTTTTTCACAGTTGTTACAGTTTATTTTGTAGATGATGTTGGTTTTATCTTCTTTCGCTGTTGAGTCTTTTGGTTGACATAGAATTGAGTGAAGCGACTCTGTTGGTTTGTGTACGGCGTCAATTCCTAAAGGTTTGAAGAGTCTTGTAGTGATTTCTGAGATATCCTTTATGTATGGTAAGGCGATTTTCTTTGTGTTCTCCTTGGTGGCTTTTGCTTTGGTAGGTTGGCTTGGAGGTATATGTTTTTAGATGAAATTCCGTGGATATCCATTCTTTTGGAAGACGTCCATGTGATACTTTTCTTCAATTTTTCTTAAGATGGGAGTGCTGCGATGAGTCCTTGCTCTCTTGAATAGTGTTTGTATGCAATTCCTTTTGTGTGTTATTGGGTTGTTGCTGTTGTAATTCAGTATTTGGTCTGTGTGAGTTGATTTCCTACAAACTTGAGTTTCTAACTCCCCTGTGGCTGTTCGCTTGACTAAGACGTCCAAACAATTGTTCGGGTGGAAGTAGTCGATAAAGGCTAGTAAAAACAAATAAGCCGGTTAAGTAATGTCAGATTGTAAGTAAAGGAAAGAAACACGTTTATAATGAAGATAAGATTAAGAAATGATAAGAAAGGGGTTGAAAATATAAATACAATGGGTGGTGTAGAAGTCTTTAGTTGGTTATGTCTTAATAGGCCAAGAGGGCATAATGGCTGTACGAAGATTTTTTGAATGCAAAGTTTAGGTTGAATAGTTCGAATGTCTATCCCCTCAGCTGTGTGCAGTAGACGAATACGAAGTCTATTAGAAAGATTCGGTGGGATAAGATAAATTGATTTAAAAGCTCTCGTTTTCTCGTCTACATGACCACTATCAATTAAATGCGACAGAATCGAGCTACGAATTGTTTTTGTCTTTTCTTTGCCCAACCACGATTGGAGATGTTCACTAACACGTTGGGTAAGCTGTCTAGTAGTACGCCTAACATAACTGTCACCGCAGGTGCAGTTGAATTGATAAATGCACATAGATGTGTCAAAACTATCAAGCTTATCCTTCGTTTGGGTCCCAATCATTCGTCGGCTAGAGAATGACAAACATAAGTGTGCTGCGTAAAATGTTCTACGCATACTCCTTGAAAGACTTTGGAATAGAATCTCACTTGATAAGTCACCATTTAATTGCAACTTAATAAATAGAGATTTCTTATCTGCAGTCAGAGTCTCCGGTTTTTTTTCTCTGATTTTTTCATATGTTTCTTTATGAAACTACTCGGATAGCCCATCTCCGTCAAGGAATCGTGAATATATTCAAATTCCTTTTGTAAGAGGTCATCGGCACATGTCTTTCTTGCTCTGCTCGCGAGACATTTTACAACATTCCTTGTGTATTTAATGGGCACGTAGCTAAGGAAATGTGTGTTATTATTGATAAGACTATTGTTATTACTATTATTAATATTATCACTAATTGCACAATTTATATTCACCGTCGTATTATCCTATAGGCAAAATACCATGATTGGTTTATATTTGAATTTTAATTTGTAAACTTATATATGTATTAGAGTTAAGCCTGATGTGATCTAATTGAAAGCACAATATTGTTCGCTTGACTGTTTTGTTCAAAATTTATTTTTGTTAGATATACCCAGGTGCTTGAAAAGAGCAGGCAGTGAATACTGACAATATATGTAATATTGATGCTGGCCAATTAGTGCCTGGAGATACATTCCTAAAATCACAGTACTAGGACACAGACTGTGAGGTATCCCAAATTTTTAAGTTAATAACTATAATATAGTGAAGTAAATTACTATGTAAATAATGTGCAAAATAGACAGAAAGCTTATATGCCTCAAAATTACGTAAAGAAAAACCACAAAACGCATGTTCAGTAAGCGCCCTATTTATATCTGTTCACTTTCCAGCTACATACATGATCAAGCACTACATCCTACGATCTGCGAATTTCTGGAAAGGCATCAGTTACATAGAACCGATACTTAAGTGCGACAAATATGTCTGTATATGGCAGGAAGAGGGACTTACCATCCACTGGTTTGAATACAGTTGATTTTCACAGTTGAAAAGCATCTCACGTAAGAAACCATTACTCTGTTTCAATGACTTTAGAAAGATACAATTCAGTATAGTTTGAGAATTTCTAATAGGCAACAATACGGGGATGAAAAATAAAATCCTCTGTGCCAATAAAATTGAATACGTGACACTTTCCCTTTCCCATTTTTGCCGTGTTAATTCACTGGTTCCTTTGGATTGCAGTAATGTGCTTTTGCATATTTTTCAAACTTTTAACCTACTGTCATGTATTTATTCACAAAGATGACGGAAAACTGTCATACATCACTGCGTTTTGCTTCAAAATGAACATCAGTACAGTATACGACATCCTTTTACATTCAAAGTTTGTGTGAATATTGTGCAATGAAATACTCCGAGAATTGAATTATTCAGGAAATAGCACAGACCAATATCACTAATAGTATTCTACACCGGGGCTGTCTCATTTTACATATTCAGGAAAACCATTTTGACGTTTGTTGAAATAGTTTTCAGTTGTCGTGAGCCCCTTCATTCACTTAATGCATATAATAATCGATTTCTGATAGGAGTGGGAAATAACTTCTGAGTGTATATTATGTTAGTAAATAACTTACTTCGCTGTTCTGGTACATAAAATTCATGTAACACAATATTCTTACTACGGCATGGAAAATGTACCCAAGAAAGTAATTTTTCGCTCGAAACTGCCACGTTTCCTAATTAGTGAAGATTGATTTTGACATGATTTTGTGTCTTCAGAGATTACTAAATTATTTGACTACCGCAAAATTCCGGAAAACACTCTCATCATTGACTACGTCTGATTGTGTGACATCATAATACACAAAAATCAAACAAACTAAATGGCGAATTCAGCTTTCATACGGAGATCGACAAATCCCTATTGAGTGAATAATCAAATTTGGATGTTGATTTGATTCCTCAATCACAAACATTTCGACAAATAATTAAGACAAGCAGGTAGTAAAAGTATTCCCTTTGAATATGGTCGCTCCGTTCATCTTCACATCGGATTCCAGTATCTATTTAAAGCTGAGATGAGAAAAGCATGAGGGATTTACTGCAACTGATCTAATTTAAATGGCTATCAGTCAAAATTTGACAGGAAATGACTTTCGTGCGATAAATTTAAAACTAATGGAACGCTCCCAGAAATGTTCCGTTACCAGTTTTGCTAACTAGAATTCTTTTAATGTTTCCTAGTATTTACCGTCAATTGATAAACTTTCAGGCATCATTCGAACAAGGTGTGAAACTCCTACTACTCTTTTAATGCACGAGTTCGACATAGTGGTTTTATTGCTTACGACTTCATGATTAAGCCGTTTATTTACTATTAGGATTAACAACAGTCAGTTAAAACGTGACAAACAGATGTTATGTGAATGACATTCACCTATACAATTCCATACATAGTTGTACAAAAATTTATTCGGTGAAATGTTCCATATGAGAAGCGGCGTATTATACTGAATTTGATTTTATACGATTGGGAACTCAAGTATTATTGAGAGAAAGATTTTTGATATGTGATTATACAGTGTTTATAAAGTGATTTTAATGCATATATTCGCATTGTGCTCGTTTTAGAAATTGCGAGAATCAATAATTAGTAATTGAGACCCTTATCCAAACTACAGAGTCAACTTACCAATAGTTGCTATATGATCGTTAAACAGAGAAAAAATAATGCCATTATTGTTTGCATATTGACTCATCAATGATTTCTACGATCCGCTCATGTGTTTGCCCTTGAGTATAGTGATAATGAGCTGAGTACAGCAATTCAATGATTTATTATGGTTTCTCGCATTGATCACAATTTTTTTGACATATGAAATGTCACCTTGTTTTGACTAAATAGTGAAGCAATAGGTAATAAATATGCTGATAACCACAGTTTATTTGAATGAAGGTGAACGTTTTATGTGAAATATTTCTGTTTCTTCTCTGTATCATATTCAGCAGAAAATGAGGATGAACAGATGAAGAGTTTCCTCTGGTTTATTGCAATTTTCTGTTGCTTGATGCACATTTTTCCCCGGAAACAGAATAATCAATCACGATTTTGACAAGTGGTTCGATAGATACCTCATCTCCAAGGCACTTTGCCTCAGCTCTCAGATGAGAACTTCATCACTTACTGAGAAACGCAGGTACATTTAGATGAAGACCCAAAAACAGGACGAAATGAGCATCCTCGACTCCACTGCTAGTCACCATCCATCAATTATATATTGAAAAATAACTAATTCAAATTTAGTCAAATCTATTCCATAAAAATATCCTAAACTTTTCATTCAACAAAGTGTCCGTGAATTTGGTACGTTAATTGATTTTCCGTATTTATGCAGCTTCTTAAATTATGATTAATTGAAGATTCGTATTCTGCTCGTCAATGTTCACTTTCGTCAACATTTAAATTATATGAGTAAATAATAAATCTCAGCAGTGTATCTCTGAATGTTGAATACAATAACATGGATAGTGCGTTAAATGTCTTCCTCCTTATGTGATACACTTGCGCATACGTGCTGCAAGAGTGTTATGCTGAGCATTCACATAGTGATCGGATACATATGAATGGACTCATTGCCATTATTAGGATATGTTGTTTTCATTCTCTAGGGTGTAAATTTGTTGCAAGAGGTATGGTGTTATTTGAAATGCTATCTAGGGTATACGATGTCCTCTTACTTGAATTATTTTCTGATAGATAAGGAAGTAAATGATGGAAAGCAAGCTTAGACAAAGTAAGCCACATTCATATAGATGTAGCAAACAAAATTGAGTTATATTTCATGAACATAAAGTGGAGTTTGACTGAACAACTTTACAAATTCCACGAGACCATTAGATATCCGAAAGTTTTCATATGGTTCACAATTATTCATCAAACCATATCTGAGGTCGTGGAAAATACCCATTACGCATAAGAATGAAGGGAACAAAAAAATCAGCGAAGATATCTTTTCAGAGATTTCATCTTCAAACGCTGTACAATCGCGTTTGAATACACAATTTTACATAGATAAAATGTTTACCTGAATCCGCATAATTACGAGGGTGAATAAAAGGTTACAATTATTTTCAAATAGATATGGTTTCCGAGAGGCTTGGAAAAAAATTACATCGGATAAGAACTAATTACAGTAATTTAAAATTTGTATGGGAACAAATTCAAATAATAATTTTCAAATTTCAACGGAAGTTAGAAGGCGTGAATATATACATTACAAAGAATGCACAGGACTACAATTCAATTGTAAAATAGTTATTTGTAACGGATTATAAATGTAAGCATAGAAACAAACTGAAAATAACTGTGTTTATAAGTGGAAAAAATAAGATGAAATGAATGTAGATAAAAAGAGAATATTCACGAAGAAAAAAGTCAAATAAAACAACAAAAAACGGATACTAACAGAAGACACTGAACTAGATCGATGGTAGTTGTAGAGGTTGGACTAATCTCTTTCGAACACAGCCCTGAATTCTCGATGCATATTGCGAAGGCTTCTGCAGCAAACAGAAGTCCGAAACATACTGCTTTTAATAGGTTTCTGTTGACTTTGTAGATTACTTTGAATGAATCCATTGAGACGTTATAGGATGTATTGATCAGATGTTCAATAATGACACTCCCGATGGATTCGCTGCCTTCTTTTTGCAGCATTCCTGAGTAATGTTCTCTAACACGTTTCGAAGGGACGCGCATACAACCACCTATTTACCTAGCTATGCATGAGCAGATGAACTGGTATATGCACATTGAATTGTTCATTTGTTTGGCTGTTGCTTACGTCCCAGAATTTCAGTAAAAGAGATATAGCTGCTAGTTGTAACATTGATAACAAAACTGAAGACAAATTTATGAGGATCTCTGGGGAACTTATTCTGGACTTCGATTGGTTTCAGGCGTTTGTTCAAACTCGAAGTAACATTTTGAGCTCTTCCGTTCGACGCCAGTATAACATACTCGCCATACGGGATTGTCAAATACCTTACTTGCGTAACAGTTCACTGTTTAGTAGAGCTACAATTCAAACTAAATGGAAAGTTTCAAAACGAAGTAAAAAACGCCTGCTGAAGTGTGTATGTTCCAATCATTTTGTATTTTTCTAAGAACCAAGCTTGTAAATGAGTCCTTATTTAAAAAAGATGAACAATGATCTTATTTGTAAAAGGTTTCTTAAAATGCTGTATCAATATTCGGAGCACGGAATGTTTATTTTGAGCTGAATAGCCACCTTAAACGAGAACAGGATATCTCTGGCAGAAATCAAGTGAACCTGAAGAACACGCCAAGAAGATTTACAAGAGCCTCACTCTCCTATCTCCTCTCGTTCAAATTTGAAACGAGATGGAGAATTAAACATCTGTTCAGTGTAAGTTAGACATTCCTTGATGCCATGCACCCATCGAGGTTCTATTTAAGAGAAGTTCAAATTCACGGGACAAAATTGGGTCTTAGTAGTTGAACGCTCTACAAAGTTACCTCCAATTGTATGGTCATGATTTCGAACCCTGTCGGGTATGTTTAGCTAAAGTTTCAAAAAATCGGATGAAGTGTAACAACAGAAGACAAAGGCCAGGCAACAGATCGTTTTATTACGAAAATCAACACGTATTTATATAGATTTCACATTCATTATTATAGCCTAGTCGAGTAGACAAACGCAGTCTTCTGACTGGTTGTTTTCGAGTTCCTCGGAAAGTGGAGCCATCTTTTTGCGAATCATATTTGCTCACGTTTAAGTTTGCTGTGATTGGTTGTTGAAACAGCCTTGTTCATATTTCCTCACGGCCCGTTGTAGTGACCTAGACATTGACGTAGAATAATGTCAACCAATTGGCTAGCAGGCTGCTCTCACCACAAAAGCAGCTATCCAAATATTACTGGTTTTCATTGATTTTCTGACTGATATCAGTCGTTTAATAAACTAGAAATTATTCATGTTATATGATGTTACGTAGCATTATTCAATTTTGGTGCATAATACTAGAAATACTGAGAAGGAGAAATAAAAACTGTCGAATCCCTTTCGAGTTTCGTCTGAATAAAAAATCTTATATCAATTTCACATACTTCTGAAGTAACAAGGAAGAAAATATATTTGTTTAATTCCACATTGATTTCTAAAACACTGGTAGGGAACGGAGAATTCGGTCTCTCAGATTGATTCGCAAATGTCACAGTAAGAGTCAAAAAAATTAATTTTAAGAATAAAGTAAAACTACTCACGTTTCGCCACTGGTGTGAATATATTTAACGAAACGTAAATGAAATAACCGAACATATTGATTGGTTTTAGCAGCACTCAAAACAACTGTTCGCTTTTGACAACGGAGACATAGTCACACTTTTGGATCTGTAATTTATACCAGTTTTATTTCATGCCATAACAACTTCAGTGGAATACTATTACAGGACAGAGAAATCTACTTTGTTTTACTTGATCAGAGATTTCATCATTAGGCAAACGATTTTTCTTATCCTGAAAAAACATTTGCCGAGACATTCACAAAAAGAGACGAAACGCTTTATAACATAAAATTTGACAAAAAACGCCGAGTAATCAAAAAGACGGATTAGGGAGAGAATAATCATTTACTGGACTCATGAATATTGTGTAATTAAAACTGTTTGCCCCTATTTCAACTCCCGTGGGTGCGTACTGAAGAAGAGTCCAAAACTAGGACGAAACAGCTGTCCAGTACTCCCAGGTTTTCCAATGGTTCTCTAACTAATGTCAGCTCATGATGAAATTCTGAAACCAATCAGATCCCTACAAACCATCACTTGAATACTATTAAAACACGTTTTCTCTTGATATTGGTACAGGTTTGAAGAAGACAGCAATTTCGCCTTAAAATATGACAAACCATTATGGCCTTCAACTGTTTTCACTAAGGAATAGATAGTAAGTGCCCAGCAGAAATTCTGTTTCTGGGAATTTTATTCTTCAGCGGTACATAGATATTTTCATTTTCTTAGTTAATATATTATATTCATTAGTGAATTGGAAAAAAGTGAAATAGTTGAAATGAGACCCCTAAAAAATTTATAACATTATTTCAAATATTGTGACGGTAATAGGAGCGAAAAAATAAACAGAAATACCAATAAGCGAAAACTGGAGAGCTGAATGTATGGTTAGCGTCTTCTGGAAAAACGTTTTCTGTCAGATGAAGCTTGAAAAAGACATTTGTGCTCATTGAAGCAGTTAATACGGTGAGGTAGAAGATACGAAAAAGGACGATTCATTTGGAAGCTGTTGACTTTTTTTCAACTCATTAGAAATTTTTGGGTGTTCGCCTACAAGGCGCTTAACTAAAGCACTTCGGTTGAAATTACTGGTTAATGCTTGTTTCTGTTTTCTTGCCTACATGATTGCAAGGTGAAGATGAAATAATATATACGCAGTGGAGCGATTATGCACTGAGATATTCTTCATGATGTCCGCCGATAATGAACAGCCACAGAATGGCACTAAGAGGTTAGTGACACGTTAGTGAGCACTATGAATAAAACGTTTATGGAATCCTGTCTACTAGTTTTCTGAAGACAGTCTAAATATGGACGAAAATTTTACCAGCTTGTTGTTTTACATTTGAGGTGTTTCTTATAATTTTAACACATATTATTACACATTTGTATCTATAGCCACGTTGGTAAATAAAATCTATAAATGAAGCGAAATCACCAGTTTCCAGTCAGACGAAATACTTTAAAGGATCAACAGAATCAAAAGTGTAGTCAACGAGGTACTCCTAGGAATATCTCTTTGGTACGTTTAATCAAATTAAACAAAAGTATTAGATCATTGAAAAAGAGGTGTTAAGCAAGGAGATATCATGTTCTGCAATCCTAATTTGAAGCTTTCAAATCGCACCAGCAAACGTTTTTTCATGGATATGAAATAAAATCTGTAAGGTTAAAATAACTACACCGCAACACAAAAGATTTTGATCAGATAGAAACTAAAATTGTCATGAAAAAATAAGTATCGCGATAATTTGCGACTGATCGGATTGACCAAGAATCAAATACAATCGAAAACGATTCAGGTAAACTGCGAGCTTATCTGGCATTATATCTGCGAAAATCGCAGCTGACGGAATTTCGAATATAATCTTTTCATCATTTTACATACAATTTCGCAACTCGTGAATGCTGCGCTTACTTTCTTTCTCTGCATGAATTTAATTGAACAAATCTTGACTTTATTAACTAACCATCAACTGAATATATGGCAGTCAATAAAGGCAAAAAATGATGAAGTCAAATAACATTTTACGCCTAAATTAACTGTACCTGACAGTAAGATCCGATAATCATTACTTTAACGTCCTTAATTCTAGCAACGCCTCATGCATAACGCATTATGTACGTTTAAAAGCGTCGTCAGTTTCAAAGTCTGTTCATCTGTAGGAAAACTTAAACGCACTTTTACTTTTATTTTTTCAACTACCCTCCTATATACGAGCCAAAAGTTAACTGTATACAATGTTCGAAGGACCACTTATGTAAAGGAATACAGTTTATAGCATTACTAGAGATCTGTAATTGCAGCCGATGAAAACCAAGAAAACAAACCGCCATTACAACACTTTTGAAATATGCACTGTATTCAACATTTTTTCACAGTGGACAAAATCCAATAAAAGTAAATCAAAGCGTACATTGACACCTTTAATTTTCAGTGTTATACTTCAGTAAAAGAAGAAGAACATAAGTGATATTTGTGTGGTCAGGTGTCTCGATTGATGGTATCCATTAGAAAATTTTAAAATTAAATAAGCTTTTCTTCATCAGTGGAATTATGATGGCCATGAAGTGGACTTTACCAGAATAGTACAATGTGCATCCATGAATTCCATGAGCTGTCCCTGAGGAAATGTCAACAGCCTCAAGAGCTTATGAAAGAGACTGATTTTTTACCAAAGAAATTTCACCCTTTTTATAACGAACGTGAAGCTTTGCAGTGACGTATATTCAGTTCTACAGTAAGGCTTTGCTATTTAAAATGCTCTCTATCGGTTGACAGATGGTAGTCACTCTCAAACTGGTGATTTACAATCAATCTGAACAATAAGACGACATGTTGGCTGTCAAATGCATACAGATAGTTATGCGATTCATACTTTCGTGGAAATGTGAAGCTGTGGAAATAAGTTACATTTTGCTTACGTAAAGTTAATATTTTTGAATGCTAACAGCCAACTAATCTATGTTTTTGTCGTTTGTTTCAAAGTGGAGGCCGTACATTCTTTTTATATTTTTTCTTGATTACAACTTGATTCCACACCCTATTCTTGGTACGAGTATGGACTTTCGGCGTGTGATATCGTTAGCCCAAATTTCGCAGGCCGACCATTGATATCAGGTGTGCGTCGGCAGGGGATCAAACCCCGGACCATGTGAATGGGAGGCGAGAGTCCTAACCAATGTGCAACCGACGCACACATGCATCTTTCATTCATAATTATATTTTTACTTCACGGATAACTATGAATTTTATTTTCAGATTGCTGAATGCTAAGTCACCGGCATTTTCGCATTTTGAAAATGTTACATGAGTCAATGTGAACTTTCATTTTCTGCATTTTTGTCTGTAAAACTGCAGTACACAATTTAGAGTTCAATGTTGTTTTGGTTTATTAGCATTTTCTTCAGATGCGTTCTTTTTTAACAAGTTCTCACAACAGAAAATCATAAACGATTAGTTTAACATTATGAATGACTGCAGTCAACCCATGACGTGCGAGTGAAGGGTTAAACTCGTGGCACTCAATATACAATATTCCCATGGATTTCCTACAGTGAAATAGTTCTTTTGTCATAAAGATAACACATATTACGTACAAGTGGCATACTAAACTGTATATCGAATTATGATTAAAAATCCTATTTGAACATTATATTATTTAACATATAGCAATTGTGCTGTCCACGTAATTCACCAGCAACCACTTCACAGCATTGCAAAAGTGCCTAGACCTGTAAACTGCTCTTCAGTGTACTTAGCTTATTATAAGAGACTTCAAAAACGCCAGTGTTGTTGGTGTGATGTGTATGATATAAGTCATATGGCTTTTATTGACACTGTTTGTTGAAAAAAATCACTCTGACCGCTGTCATAAATCAAATGACAGAAAATATTTTTAGATGAATTCACTTACGGCGTGCCGAACCTTCATGTGAGGTGAACAAAAATAAACTCACGCTTTACAGTAAATGCCTCACAATTCTAATGATCTTTTTTCTTTAAAAAAAGAACTCATGCATGATGTCACAGGGACAATTTGTGTTTAATTTAATCGTCTGGTTTAGTTCTTTCTTCACTGTTTTGCAAAACACACACTTCATGTGTTCACGTATCACTGTATAGGAGGCATTAATCATCAGAAATCACAGATAACCTCATTTTCTATCCATTCACACATTATTTTAATCAGTGCATAAAATGGCTAGTTTATGCAGTTAATGTGCGATTCTATCTCTCAAATCGGAAATTTTTTACAGACCAACTACTATTCATTGTGCAACGAAGTCCCGGAGATGGTAACATCAAGTTGCTGAGTTGGAAAGATATGCGACTGAATTAAATGTACAAATACACAAATGAAAATGAAATCATTTCCCAAAATTTTAGAAACAAAGGCTTACATCTCATTGTTATATCCACAACTATGATTAAAAACAAAAGTTGCTAGTTGCATTCATTTAGGTGATATAACGAATTAGCTTATTTCTGACTGTTATTAGGTGAAAATTCTTTATAAATAAAACTTTTCAGTGGTTTAAATCCTCATTCATGATTATTTTTAATTTCCTTATATAAAATGTGTCACTGGTATCATTACAACATTGGATAAGCTGTATAGATAAATGAACACTGAGCGGCTTGATGAATTATAAAGGTCAGTTATCAAACCATAGAACTCATCTCAGCCTGATATATGATTAGTAAATCGGGCTGAATTTGTTCGCTACACCATCCTGGATTGTATATCTGCATTCGACTTAGTACCGGAGAGATATTTTGTTTGAGAAGCTTACTGAAAGTCAAACTGAATTTCGGGTTGTCAAGTGGCTGCATTTTTATTTATTTCTCAGTTGGAAAGCAATACGTTGGAGGAAGTCGTCCGCTTCATTGCTTATTCAGAGTAGTGTCACTCGGGGAGCTGTTCTCTTTCCTCTTCTGTTTTCTGTCTTCTTGCATGGACTGCCTCACTTTTAATGAGAAGAACTTTGTTAAGTTAGCGAACGATCTAACTATTTCATTGTCTGTCAACTTCCAGCTAGACTGTACCAAGATGAACAGCTTTCCATCAGGAGGCAGTGAATGGTCTTCGTCTAAAAGCCCAAAACCAAATCCTTGCAAATGTCAGACTGCTAATTTCAGTTCCCGATGTAAAAGAAACTTAAGTGAAGTTAATAATTCTTATGGCCGTTGCAAAATTTACAATAGAGATATAGAAATCAAGTCTGTCTCTAAGTATCTTGCACCGATTCCTTCTTCTGATCTATCCTGGTCTATGCATGCTTTGGGTATTTCTAAAAAAAATATTTCATCTGACTTTTACATTAAGAAGTTAAGGTTTTCAGGCATAACTCAACCCTTCCTCTTACAGTTTGTCAACTCGTGCATCTTACCTATTCTCATTCACTGTTCAACCATATTCTTTCCTGGATTGCTCAGAAAAGAATATGTCATATTTCACAGAACTCTGAAAAATGTCAGTAGGGCCGACTAGACCATATCGCTGTCACTGAAAGGCATTTGATTTCATAGAACAAACGTGATAAAGGAACTTTGTCAGACTGTAAGCATCCACTCTACCAGTAGCTTTCACTTTAAGTCTTCTCAAGTAGAACAAGAAGTCAATTCAAAAGACTTTATGCACGTATGTCTTAGTATATAAATTTCACGATGCTATATTCAGTATGCATTTTCTGGGATAAAAATAGTGTCAAGCATGTACTAACTAACAATCTTTGCGTTAAAAATATAAAACCTTTTTCTCCATCATTATTCCACTGAGCTTTATTGTTACTGTTATTCTTGTAGTCTCAATCGCTTTGCTTATTTTCCTATAGGTGTACACACCATTTAGGCTGTTTAATAGCTGCGGTTTTTCGTCTTTCTCCTCACCATGTTATATGAACAAAACATTAGGTTCGATAATCTACAACGTGCTATAATTGCCAAACTTAATCGACAATACTATTTGAAACAAGCTCACTGTTATCATACTAATTATATAAATTATTCTTATTTTTGCCTCGAATACGTTTAACTTTATAACGTATATGTGGAAAAATTCCTCCTTATATTTAATTATATCTCTGTTTTGAGTAAATCAGATACAATATGGTGACAAGTGCTGAGAATTCCCTTCTGGATTATATGTATTGTTATTTTGTAATGAAGCAGATTATTATTATTAAATACTTACGCTTGACACCATTTGCCACTTTGAATGAAATCGTTTGTTAGGAAAACATTTGAATGTTGAGTAGTCATTTAATGCAAGTTGCGGATTGTGCAATACGGAATCAATGAATATTCAATTCAACTATGAAAGGAGGTACAATCGAAAGGAATATTCTTTAGTCACGCAAAATCGATGCATTTAAAAATATTCAGTATTAAGCATCTAGTTTCATTAACTTAAATATGTTAATTCTTGAGCGGAATAAATCCAAGAAAACATTCTGCTTTAAGCGGCAGTTTCAATTCAATCCTGTTATTTTTACACACATTACAATTGCTAGTTTTCCAGTCGAAGTTTATTGGCCAACATTTTAAGGTGAGAAAACGTTGGTTAGCTATCTTCACCATAACGTCATCTTCCATAGTTTTCATTTTCGTTCACTTCGGAAGCCTAAGACAGTTTCCAGATTAAAATAAAAAATTACATCATGTCAAAAGACACCTTCCATGTTTTCATTCAATACATTTCATGACTGACATTAGAAGGAGAAGCCAACATTGAACCTGTGACGGGGATTTTTGGATTAAGATCAAAAATTTCTGTAAGCACGGCTGAACGCTAGAATTCCGTGATGGGCTGTGACTAAGACGAATAAATAAAAGTGCACATAGTGCCATGCTTTTCGAAATTTAACTATGATTCCAAATTAGTATTTCAGAGAACATATTCTGCAGCTTCACATCAACCACCAGCCGAAGGTATGTTATTAGTTTACGCCTGAAGTCGTTTTTATGCTTAAAAATTGTACAAATCTCGCCTCGTCGTATCATTTGAATCAACCAGTATATAAATTAGTAACACTGCATATTTTTTCTTATGAAAAATATATGAACATCATAGGCCCCTCCATCGACATCATGATGATAAAACCAGCACGGCATTGATTTGTGAACTTACCGGCTTATAGCAAAGTATAGAGGAATATCATATGGAATTATGAATTTTGCATTTTTATCAGAATAAATTTTTGCATCACTGGCTAGGCGAGTGGGTAATCAGTAAATAATACTTTTTCGTGGTATTATGCACTTTGCGTACTTCTTAAGGTTGATAGGGATTCGCCGTTTTAGGCAATTTAGAAAAAAACTGAAAACATGTAAATACGACTTCAGAACAATTAACTCTGAGAGAAAATATGACTCATTTTATAAAGCGAGATCAGTTTGCTTTACACGTAACAGTTCCTCACTCAATTTCCAGCTGGCGAATTATAGATTGTAAACTAAATAAGGAGTCTTCGAATGGAAAAGATCATTGTCATATGGTAAGAAACTTAGGAAATGCATATATTCCTGAAATTGTCTGTATCATAAGACTCAGTAATCAAATGTCGATTCGTCAAAATTCGACTAAAGTTAATTTGGAAGAAAATTAGCTTAAATATGGTTTAGCTCTTTATGTTTCACTGAAACTGTCAAAACAAATAACTATTTTTCTGCAGATTTTTTATGTAACTTACTATATTGACTAAAATCTGTGTGATCGTAAAGCAAAAATAACAGTTATGGAGCTCATGGAAGCAGAAACTACTCGGGCAGTGAAGGTAAAATACATAATCATTGTAACCTATTCCGCGAAGCTTTTTATAATCATTTTAATCCTATTCATTCTTGTTTGACTTCATTGTCTATCCTCCTATTTAGCGAGGTTTCCCACAGGCCTCGCGTATTATGGGAGAACCAACACTTGACTCAACGCGTTTCTAGCCAGTATTCTAACACTTAACCGGCAACGCAGTCCTCCGACACTTAAATACTTCTTAGAAGCTTAGTATATTGCACATGTTGCTGACAACTTATCATTCTCGAACTAATTGAAAATTAAAATTACGGTGACTGCATATGGAAAATAGGCACTCAGGCAAAACAAATTAATAAATCGAAATATAGACAATAATTTGCATAATAAATACATGAGATGGAAAATATAAGACCTATTTTTATGAATGTCTCCAAAATGGAAAAGAAAAAGGTAAGCCTTACAAATCGCTACTGGTAAACATAGAGGGAAATAAAGAAGTAGATAGATGTCAAACAATAAATCTTCAGGTGGGATTTTAGCAATGCTTTACTAAACTCATTCTTGTTTTTTGTTGAGATGGATATGGATAAAGCTGTACAATAATTTGAGTTAAGTTATCGAATCCTTGGCTATTTGCAAAGGCATAACATTTAAAGATGAGTTGAAGAATTTAACTATACTCGGAAAATTCAATGGAGACACGCCATATCGCCATAGGAATAAACCACTTTATTTTAATTGAGATTATGAAGCACTTTAAATTAAAAAACAAACACGATTTATACATCAAAATGTTGAGGGCGATTGATCTTGGCGTGCTGACCACAATTTATCATGACTTTAATATATCAACAACTTCACTGTTGTGTAAGCAAGTATAAAAACTGCAAAACATATTGTGAATTAGTCTCCCACACTTCCCATAACGAATGATGAAGAAATTATAAAGGAATTCAATGTCCACAGTGGGAAAGAATATTGCTATTAAACTTTCAGTAATACTGACGATGTTCACTTCAATTATTGCAGCCGATAGCAATGAAATACCACTATCCTTACAAAACACACTCGCTCTTCATTTAAATCCATGGAGAAATGAACTCTCATCGTATTCAAACCATTGTATTCCCTTAATTTCGGTGACCTCTGTGGAAACTTTTAACGAAAAAGTAATTCACCCATTCGAAACATTTCATCTGCTGGAGGTTATATGCAATCACTAACTGGAGTTTTAACAGTCAAACGCTGTCTTCATAAATTACCACCATAGAAATTGGTTCAAGTCAGTATAAGTATTATTTTACTTCTCTTTGGGCTTGGTAGACTGCGGTCATTGCCAACGTCATACACTAACAGAAAACACTATGCCTGCTAATCAGCCTTAATCACCGCGTTAAATCGAATGGGCAAAACAGCGATGCGAAGCATCAGCCTTAAAAATGATATCGAAGATTACTAAATTCAACGACAGCTGAGAAATGTTAGGCAAAACATCCCAAATAGGCAGCAAATTGTGACATATGATTAATGTAATGTGAGACAAAGGTTTTTTGAAATCGTGGATAGTATAAATAGCTAAATAAATGGATCAATTCAAACCATAGCTGGGTTAAATTCATCTGAATGTTTTCGAGCCAAAATACAAGGTATTCTAATCTTCAAAAGGCATGCTAATCTTTTATTTTAAAATAACAAAATCACAGTATTTGTATTTGCTCAGTAAGACTTACTGTCTGGTTACGGGGTTTAAAATAGTAATAAAAAATGTGTTTGTTTTCCACATTTGATCAGAGAGCAATGTTTTTAACAGTGTTAACAGGAGTGCAGTCGTCTTTTGAATTAATTAATCGATACAATTAAAAATAGTGACCGTAGTTAACCGCTGTATGCATCATTCGGGAAAAGCAGATAAATGAAAGTGAAAGATACCACGTTTCTCGATTCACAGCATACAGGATTCTGTTTCAGATGAAATAGCTCAGTGTCAATGACTTGCTTTCATTGAGCTTGTTAACTAAATAGAAAACTAACAGGCTCAGGTTATTTGGTAACACTTTACAGATTCGAAACGCCAGTGAAAAACTCTATAATGAGCAATGATACGTGATGTAGTCACCAGCAGTGCTGAAGATGTGCGTACGTATAATGCTCAGTTCTGACATTAATTCACCAAAACTTACTTTTACCAACGGCCGCTGAAAGTCAAATTTGCAACAATAGTGATAATTCAGAAACAAATTTTGTTATCACACACACTCACTGAAGAGAGCTAAAACAATCAATTGTTGCTAAAATCCTACAGTGACTTCTTGGGTGGGAAAATATAGCTCATATTTAAAGATGCAAAAAATGGTTGCAGTCAACAATATCCATGCAATATTTTGTTCATTTCGCTGGTCTTACCAGATTCCTGTAACCTCTCTCTGTGAACATTTTGAGTCATCGGTTCTTGTTCGTTAACTCCAAAGTTATTGAGATCAAATACTAACTTGAAGATAGTCTTAAACATTTAAAATTTAGGATATTTAGGAATGATTTCATAATCAGTATTTATTTCTGAACTACGTAGTAGATACGTTGAAATTCAGTGTACTTATTATGCACAGCTTTCACAATCCTTTGACGTTACTCACCACTATGATAAGCTTTTTGGAAATAAAAATAGGATAAAATCGTAAATAATTTAGTCAGGAGATAATGCGTTTTTTTTTTTAATGATGAAATCCTGTAGCAGAATGTAAACTATTAACTCATCCTTGTCATTAACAGCTAACAGATGATCACTTTACTTGATATCTGCTTGACTGTTCAGATATGAAAATTTAAATTCTTATATCATTTTGCTTCTGATTTCGGCCAGGAAGGGGATTGCTGGAGGAGTAACAGAAAAATTAAAGGGAAACGGATTTATTCTAACATGAAAGCTGACCAGCTGGGCCTTTCAATCGCTGCTAAATGACATAACTCAAACTAAATGTGAAATGCTTTGTATCTTTAGAAAACTCTTCTCTTTTAAATGAAGATATGAAACTCGAAAGCAGGTAAGATTATTAAGACTGTGAAACAGAAATATCAGTATTCGACATAAAATTTCTTCGTATTCTACACAATTTTTATCATTGAATTAAGTTCTGCAGTCATTATCTGCGTGAACGAGAACATGTAATTTTGCAGATAGCCAATCTTATTGATAAAGGGATTTTGTTTATGAAGTGATTATGTAAAATATTTCTAGATTGACTTAGCCCTATCCCCAGACACTTACAGTATGCCCCTTCGCAATCAAATTAGTTTTAATTCATCACAATAAAAACTATAATAAGTCAATTGAAATAATTCAGAAAACACTAATTAAACGCACTGTGATATTCTGAAAATTGATAATGAATATACGATGAAATCGTTATAACGGTAACATGGAAAACGAGAAATAAATTATTCAGTGCCAGAATATGAAGTCCAAATTATATGTGATAATGAAGCACTTTGGTTGACAGATGGATGTGTTATGACCCTAGAAACAATTCATTAGACTGAACTCCGACGATGGTATACTTTCATGAAAACACGACTTTTACTTCAGAAGTATAGACACCGTCCATGATTTGGTACACAGGTGTGTTTTCAACAGTAAGGCGCATAAATTACTAACAAAATCTACCATGAGAAAGAAATCACCTAAACCGCTGAACTCCTGAAATCTTCATCTTTATTAGTTTCAAATGGTTAGCTAATACGTCTCACAGAGAATAAGCATCTGAAAAGTCAACCTAACACAAGTTTTACTGCTTATGTTCCTAATACCCTTAGGTAAAAAGCACTGAAAAATCACTATAATGCTCTTTGTGGTAGACTGTCGGGTATTCCGTTTCAAAAGTTTGATACTCTGTGAGAGTAGTGGAACACTATTTGCAAATGTCTAATTATAAATTACACTGTATTTGATAAATCCATTGTGAAATACCTATCAATGCAAGACATCAGAAGCAATAGTTCTAATATCCAAAGAGACACTGAATTAAAGACGTACAGACTGGTTAGAAGAGAGATGATATTTATGAATATGGTATTTTCGTCAAAATCATGATTTATTTGTGCAAATTTGAAACTGATGTCTATCTTGAACATGAAAAGACAATAAGCCTATGAATAAAACGTATTCAAACGGTTTATGAGTTGAATAATTGTGCAGATCGAGAAGCGAATCAATTCATAGAAATAATTGCTTCTTGATATGACAACTTAAAAATAAAATTTCTCTTTAGATTTCGTAGAATTTATCTACAACATCAATGAACAGTTTAAATCCATAAAAATAAAGAATTCATTGTGTTTGTGCTAGGACATAAGTATAAGACTATCATGTCTTAAACTGCCTGTACATTGAATGATACAGAAAAAAGTGACTTGAACTGCAAATAAATATAAGTTTCAACTATCCGTTAGATTTTGTTGGTGTAGTCGTCTTTCAATTGCAAAAGTCCGAATAATCAAGAATAAAATTATAAAGAATTTCACATTGCTTATATCTTTCACCCCAAAACAAGTTGTAAAAGCATCACGTTATATATGAAAACTTAAAATATTGAAAGAAGCATTTTCTTTGAACAAAAGGCTCGATTGAAAATTCTAAAAATCTATAAGCAAAACCTATTGACTATATATGCACATTTGTGTAAAAAAAATAGTGGTAATTAATACAGTGTTTACACCATGAGCATAAGACAGTGTGATGCAAACGACAAATTATTTTGGTGTTCAGTCGTGAAGGATCCTCATTTTTGACAATCACAAATGTGGTAGTATTGAAAAGAGACGATAGAGAGAAGTCAGTCACTTCAACTGGGACATCGATTCCAAAATTTAATAGTTAAGAATTAGCTATCATTTTGGTTTTTTCGCATCAAGGAAGTCAACATTTCCTACTTTTGATTTTGAATAGAATTTTACATCATGCATCAAAAGTGACAAATATTTATCTAGATAAATTCGTGTGGCTCTCTTAACAATAGAACGATTATCTGAAAATCATATATAAAGCTCTCTTTACTGTGATAGATATTTCGCTGCCTGCATTAGATTAAATAGTTGAAGTAGTAAAAATTGTTCAACTGAAACTATGAAGAGTTTCATGGTGAATGCCACTTTTGTCTCCACCTAATTTGAGGTTATCCAAAATCAGCTAAGTCCGTAAACATATAAAATCGGGCGAGAAATCTGGTGACGTGTAAACATAAAGTGAAATACTATGTGTACATATGTAACTGCTGCCATCAAAGGGACGCTTATTTCAGGATAATCAAGACAGGGACATAAACATGTCGTCTGTTGATAGAAAAGAACAAATATTGTTTATCAATACAGTGTTTTTAGTATAAGCACAAAAAATTTGTATAAAACCGGATTGGTTTCCTATTTCACTGTGATTTATTTCAACATCTACACCTATGCATCTTGTTAACGAATTTCAGCATTGAGTATGGAGTAGGATGAAAATGGCAACAGATGACATCCATACTTCCATTGATAGGGATCCTTGTGAAGAAGAAGAAGATTACATCGGTGCTCACGATGAACAAAATAAAAAACGTTTATTTTGTTCAAGCTTAAGGTAAAATGGAAGTAATCTTTCCTGATAAACACAAGTTAAGGAGAAGCTTATATTTATTCCACTCGAATGAAAAATTGATATCACTTAAGGAATAGTTATTAGGAGACAAAACCTCAGAGACCAGAAACTATTCAGCAGCTAAGTTGATTTTACCATGAAATGCTCTTTGACAAAATCAATAGTCAAGACTTATCATACTCTCACTGACTCTTTCTGTGCATACAGATTCACACTTATCCCTGTTAGAAAGTACAATGGGAGAGCAGAAAGTAGGTCTCACGTTCCATCTTTTCCACATGTACCAAAGAGCCCGATTCTCAAAGAAGTAAACGCTGACAATAACGACCCTACCAGACAGTTTGTTGATATGCGTCATGAAATGAACGTCATAAAACTCTACTAAATTTTCAAAAGACAATACATTTCCATTCCTCCGAAATTTGCCGAAGATAACACCTGAACATTGAACTATGCGTTCAAAAAAAGCAGTAGTTCTCTCATTTGGTTATTTATTCTTTTAGGCAGGGTGGAGGTTTGAAGTTCACCATGAAATTTCTTCACTCTCAGAAAAATGACGTCGATTACTTCTGAGTTGAAGTATGTATTTCATTTCATGCATCAGGACTCGGAATATCTATGCATGGGATCCTACAAATGCCTACATTTATAATGGATATAAAATCAGTATATTCCGTCCTTCACATAGCATGTTTGAATTTATTAGGTTATTAAACTTGAACTAATTGCCTGCTGTCAGATGATGACAGTGCTTCTGGATTCCCTTGAATATAATTCGACCTGAATTTGACTTCAATGAAAGGTAACACATTTTTTTAACTGTCACTGTTGCTTGAATGTAAAAAGTGTATTTGTGGAATTAAGTGATTACCCAAACACTTCATGGGCTCCCCTAATATAGGTATGCAATTCTTGGATATCAAAAAATACCATATTGGATCAGCCTTTACTAAAGATTAAACAGCACGTAGTTAAATGTTAGACTGCAGCTAGCTGTCTTTCATGAAGATCCCGAGTGATCCTCAAACCTTATTTTGTATGTTACTTTAGGAATTTCTTATAAGGTGAAAACAGTTTTCTCCGAGATTATTCAGCTTCAACTTTTGTTACATGGTGTCCTCTGACAATCTGAAAATCTAAAATTGTATCTGACCAGTCAAAGTGATATGCAGTCAAAATGGCCGAAATACGTCTATGCAATGAACAGAATAAACCCTGAGACATTTGAGTCGCCAACCAGGAGTAAACGTATAAACTGTACAAATCTGGAAGTTGAATCTTAATGCCACACATTTGTCCCCAAATAGTTGAACGCTGATCGAGAATTTTTCAGTCTGAAATCATAGTGAATCTCTTAGAATATCCCGTAAGATATCGTATAGTAAAAAAATTCACGATTATTTATTTTATCATATAAAAGCTTGGAGTATTAATTCTTATAATACAATAGCAGACTTACGGCCTATTGATATATATTTGATATTAAAAAGCAATATTTGTAGAGTCTTTAGTATAGTTAAAAATATTTATTTGAAGGAGAAAATCTATCACTTGAGTTCAGTCAACGCAAATAATGAATCCACCATATCTTTCATATGTTCTAGTATTAACATGAGAGGTAATTGGACGATTCGATCACTGCTCTCATCAATCGTGAAGCTCGACTGTGGGCATAGAAGTATCACTGTTGTTTCACAATGTTATGAAACCCGTGAGGTTTTTCAATCGTAATTTCAAAAAAATTTCTCATGCATCAGGATTCTCCGTATTCATCATGAAAAAATTTCTGCCTTCAATATATTCTTCAATATCTCTGCCTACATGAATGTCATGTTTTATTTATAGGTATACTTGTCTTTCGCAGCTACATATACATTATTCCTCCATTTGAGATCTTATGTGTCGTTCAGAACTCTTTGACATAATTACGAGAATCTGATATGTGTTAAATTCATGGGTGAGAGAAATTTCAATTACCAAACATGGTCTAATTCAAGAAATAAAACTTACCGCACTCATTTTCATGAATTAGGTATGAAACACAGATAAGAGATAATATAACTTTGTAGAAATTCATTATGGCCAAAGTTCCAGTGACAAATAGGTCTCTTTATATACTCTTGCTAATCTTTGTTTACAATCAAAGGAGTTGTTTGTGCAGATAAAATTTCCATTGATTTGTTTAGCAGTTGTGACAGCTTAATTAAAAATTGCACCTAAAAGGTTTTCTACATTTCCAAACATCCGAATCTCAAAAATATCATGATGCTGATCATACAAAAAAGAGTAAAACCGAAGAAACCAGAAAGAGAACAAAACACGCTCCATGAGAAAGCAAAGCTGTGCATTCGCACTTTAAAGAACTTCAACACAAAATACGCAGATCTCCATAAAAATTCAAATAAAAACTGGAGATATTAGTAATAATGAGGAAGAGATTTCAATCCAATTCGGCTGTTTACAATATATTTCACGTCGCCCCCTCCCTTGACATGGACCTTCTGTTTAGACAAACAGGTCGTTGAGTGAACAGTTTTGAAGTTGAATGCATGAATTTCCTAGCAGCTGGTGAGCAGTTTGTTGATTCGTGTACATAACGTTTGCTGAATAATTATCAAAAACTGCTATCGATTCGAGAATCAATGCATCAGTTCTGTGACAGATTTTAAGTTAGGAGGAAATGAAGTGAACACTGAAATTTCTGATAATATCACAATGACCGTACGTTAAAATCTCTATCCTAAGCAATTAAGAAAAGAAGATGGATGAGCGGAGAATTTTATACTCTTTACTCGGATACGCATGTGTCGATTAATCATTGCAAACAAACGCATCTCAACTGGAATGTGACATTTTGTCTGTTGTAGCTAGGATTATTCATTTTTATACAATATTCCTCGCAAAACTTATATCTACACTATAACCTCAGTAGCGATTTCCTCACGTGGGATCACCCATATGGGGCCAGTGAAACTTCTATTAGGAAAAGAAGGTAGTTAGTCCGAAGCATAAGCCTGCATCATAGAATCTTCCCGACATCATATCTTAACAAAGTTTTATTACTCACAAAGAGCTCACAATGCAAATTAAGCTGCCTAACACCTAAATGTCCGGTGAGGAAAACAGAGATACGTTATTTTTTTCCACTCTACACAAGTCGAAGTCACGTGGCAAACGTTATCACTAAATTTCTTCAACGACCTTTAATAATCCATTCTTCCTAAGTATTAGGTAATGCCTATCATGTTTATTGAGATAACAGAAGTTCATCCAGTGCATCCATACAGGTGTATCGTTGAAATAATTCTAAACGCACCTTGGAGTAGATTTCGTAAGTAATGATAACGCAGGGAAACGACATAATAACCACAGCTGCTAACTAAAACAGCAAGAAGACAATGATGCGGAAGATTTACACAAATTTCCTATTTGAATTTTATTGGTACCCGTGTCTGCTTTCAGAACAGTGAACATATCTCGCTTACTGATTTGTTGGTTATAAAACAACGGGAATGTCAATGAATTGCCTTGCGTTTTACACAAATATATATTCTATGATCATTTTAGAAACAATCAAAGCTGACGGACTGTTACCTCGTACTGCGTTCGTACTCAATACAGTGTCTGATGTAAATGCGGTTCATCTTTACTGACTGCTGCGAGTCTCAAATATATTGTCTTGATCACTGGTGAGCTGTTGCTTACTGATGAAACATGTGGGGATACCACACGGTTCCGGTTTTTGTTGTCACAATCGAAGATAGAAGACTGTTGCTAAAGAAGTCTTTTATACATCTACACAGGACATATACTCATTTGTGTAGGCCTAAAACTCAGGTCTTTATTACGGTGTTCGCCAACGTATGCTCTCGGATGAATGAACCCGGCTTCCTACGAATCGCTTCATTTTTATTTTCATATTATTTCCTACCTGAACATGTGTGAGACCTTATATAACACTGGCTTGTTTCCTAGTCAAGTTGAATCAGAAGATATCAATTCCTGTACGTTTGAAATTGCGCGTATTTCATAACATCAACTTCGAAATGTGTTCACTTTGTTTTTATATCATTGAGTAATGCTAAGAAAAGCTGGTTTGCTGTTTGCAAATGAAGTGAAGGAATAGCAAATAAAAGCTCACTGATGCTGGATGCGAAAGTAGAAAGATTTATTTATTAATTAATTTATTTCTAAATACATCAGAAGTGGCCGCGCGAAACCAATTTACTAACTCCAGCCTTGAAATGTTTAATAGTTACTTATCATCTTTAAAACAAATTTAATGCGCATGCGTGTTTTGTTTGCCATTGTTTTGTTTTCATTGTCGCATCATGTCATTTCTGTGTACAAAATACGTCAGTGTACTAGGATTTGTTATCAGTGAAAGCAACATGCAATAAATTCTGACAACAGCAATAATAAATATAATATTGAGTACGCATACTCCACATCAAAGTCTTAAATAGATCAAAAGCAAAACAAAATCCTCACTCGCATTTGCTTATCTCCTATGCATCAAAATATTATTTGCTGACATGAACTTGAAAACGCTGCGATTCCTTTTACTATTAAATCTTTGTTAATTATTTTCAAAGTAACCTGACAAATGCGCCTGGCGTGTCAACTGACAACGTCAATGTGTTTAAATATTATTTTGATTTTATGCTGGGTATAAAATCAGATCGACAACAAACAAATAGACGCAGTTTTGGTAAGGTGGAGTCGTGAAAGCTGAATTAGACTTTATTTCATTCGAATGAGAGTGTCCATGCAAACCAGTGAAACCTAATTCTCATAAACCTGAGAAGATATATGAGATCGATTGAAGACCAAGGCAATTTCGAACAGCTACAGACTACGGTTTTCGTCTGAAACGTATTGTTGTGCAGCGAACATTCAAAATCGAGTTTAAGGCCTTTAGAATAATAATATTATTATTGACAGCTTTATTCCAAGCAGTATTTGTGGTGCAGGTATGGATTTTTCAGGGTGCATTACCATATATTGCAGCTTATTACCTCATACATTTTATAAGATTTTAAAATCAGAAAGCAACACCCAAAAAGGAAGATAAATAATAAAAAATAATTAAAAGGAAGCAGCGTTGTGTTAACATTTTAAACAATGCACTACAGGATATGAAGTATAAAATTGGTGTGTAATAGTAGATGAGAACAACAGTGTGATAGTATCGAGGAAAGGAAAGCAAAAACTAGTGGGACTATTTGTTAGAGTGCCGCAGTAATTTGATCGTGTCACACCTAACGGATTTCTCATCACATAACAGCTGTATCAGATATGGTATTATGGAGTTTTGTACTTATTAGTCCTAGCATATAGCCTCCTATAGCTGCTTCTAGTTCTACCAGATGAAATGACAGGAGACAGCTGCGTATAGCGAGGATGCTTGGGCTCTGACAATATTGTATTCGCTAGTTTCTTACATGACATTATATGTCTATCCACAATAGTGTTAACCAGTTGGTTTAACGATATCCCACTCGCCCACCCTACTAACGGCTTTTAATGCCCTTCTCAGCAAAGCAAAGTCTTTTCTAAGTAGTCCAGGAAAGATTAATGGGGAGCAGTATAGGGAGGTGGGTAGAATGCAAGAATTTACAAACTGAGAAAGCAAAGACTGCTTCATGCCAGAGTAACTAAATTTCCCAATGTAGAACGTTAAGCGGAACATCTTTCTGGTAACTAGCAAGATGTGGGAGGACCAGGAAAGATCGGTGGAAAAACTCAGCCCAAGGTGCTTGACATTAGACGTAATTTCAACCTCTATCCCTTCAATGATAGTGAGGACATGTGGACTAGCTAGTTGTTGTAGGTCACGTTTACGTCTAAAAGTGAAATTGACTACCTGACATTTAGACGGATTTAGCCTGAGACCGTTTGAAGAGGACCACTGACAAATTTCCGACAGAAAGTCATTTAATTTGGAACAATCTGACTGAGAGTTGAGAGGCATAGAAACAGAGAGGTTGTCAGCATACTTAACAAAAGTGGCTACATCAGAATGAGGCAAGTCATGTAAGAAAAACGAGAACAGAAAGGGAGGAAGAACAGCACCTTGAGGAACACCAGCTAAAGTAAGTGAGGTAGTGGAGGACTTTCCATTGTAGTCAGTGTACTGCTTCCTTTCAGAAAAATAGGAATGCAGCCACTTATTTGTCCAGCCCTCAGCCTGTGTTGCAGCAAGCTTGCTTAGCAAGAGAGACCTAGGTACAGAGTCAAATGCAGATGTGTAATCAAGGAAGGCACAGCGAACGTATTTAGCTCCTTTATCTAAACTAGAGGCTATGCTATGGTGTAGGACAACAGCGGCATCTAAGTACACCTACTATGTTTATAGGCAAACTGGTTGGGGTCGTTGAAAAGTTTTAAAGAGGGTTCAAGATTAAGTAAAATAAGTCTTTCCATAACTTTCAAAAAAGGTGAGGTAATAGCAATAGGTCT